CCAAAAAAGTATTATTGAAAACATTATAGTTTTAACAAGTAAATACTTTTCGTGCTCATTCTCATAAATTTACAGTGACTTGTCTCACAATATAGTGGCATATCTACAATGGAAACGTTAAAAAATGTTGTAATAAATTTCGCATTAAAAGTTGATTTAGCAGATTTTGAATTATTTTATATTCGTCTTTTATTTTATAAAGACTATATTGGTCCTTTATTTGCTTAAAAATAGCTTCAGGATAGATAAAGCACGTAATTTTTATTAGTATACCCTCTTTGTACTTTATTTCATTGTTAAACCATTGAATTATTGGTATATATTTGCTAAACTCAGGACCATTAAAGACGTTTAAAATAAATTCTTTAAGAAATATGAATGATTTATAACACGGTAAATTATTCGTAATTAAAATTGTAAATCTTCTACAGTCATATTTTTGATTTGCAGGACAGGGTGCTTTAATACTGGTACGCGTACTTGTCATAAGAGGAATGTACCTCAGGCGTAACAAACAAATTAAAAGTCATAATTTAGAGGAAATATTAGAAAAGAAAAAAAAATCGCGAAAAGTTTATTTTAAGTGAAACTCTTCAAGCATTTTCGAAACTTTCCTATTAACAAGCATAAAAGAGTTCTTTCCGACCATTTCTCTCCCAGACGACTTTTAAAAACAACCGCAACAGTCTCTTAATACAAGATGCAGAAAGCTGTTGCCACTAAATGTGAACGTAATCAAAGATTAATTTATTCGTATTACGTAAATATTTTAGTGAAATGTAGCGAAAGCATTTGCGGAACAATTAAGGGCCTTTAAAAAGCCCGCCACCGAACGAACGATTAATTAATTCTTCGTCTGCAAGGAAACCGGGGAGTTTACGTTTCCGGTTAATTGTCGAATTAATTAATTAAGCCTCAATCTTAGGGGCTGCAGCCAAACCCCCATGATAATAAAACCATTCGCCGCCAAAGGGGAATGGAATCGTCGAATAAACGAATTAAGCGAACGCGAGGAAAGCTTCCGTAATCTGGCAACACAAATGAAACGAACGCTTTTAACGATTCTACTTCGTTTTAATCGTAACCGCAATTTTTGTTCGCTAGCTGAGACTTAAATGGCCCAAATCGTTTGTGTGATCGGCAGCTATAGCAGAATTAGAGGTGGGCGAGTAGGAGAATTATTTAGAACAGAGAGAGCGCTTTTCTTTAATGTTTAACACTTTAGTAGTGACTCAATGGAGGGATTATTCTGGAAAGAAAATGCATTAAAGAATTGAGGCAAATTTCTTCCGAAATAATATTCAACAGTTTAGAAAAGGAATATGACACTAATTAAAAATACCCGCTTTCGTGATCGTTACATTAATTGCGAAAAATTGCAGATCAACAGTTCTACTTGAGCTTTCACAATGTAAAGAATTATACATTTAATGGCAGAATTAATCTGAACAAATTGTGGAAAATTTCTTATCCTCGGAATGTTATCCTAGATTTGATGCATTTCTCGCAACATTATTTCGTAAACACGGATTTAAGTTAAATTTAATTCACAGTTGCTTAGTGGTTGGTCTATTATAACTATTTTCTTACTTTTAATTTTGTTTCATTTAATTCGTGCTTTATCTACTATAATCAAGTCATAGCCTATATTCATACTTATGAATGTACTGAATATGTTGGACTGCATTTCAAACATGTAGGTTTTATGTATACACCTCGAAGATATTATTAAATTTCAGGCATCAAAAATTCCTGAGAAAAGAACAAAACTGTATTGCAATTGCATAAAAAATGTTACTGTGAATTAGAAAATTTTCAATCTTATTTTATCGCTTTGATATCAAAGAATTTTTTTAAATTACGAAATAAATATTTGGAATGCTAATTGACATAGGCTTTTATATTTAGAAAACATTTTCTACCATTAAATGATAATATATTATAACTGAAAATAATAAATAAGTACATAAAAATTCTTAAAGTATTCAGATTTTAACTGTCGTTCAAGAGGGCTCTTTTAAAATTTTATATGGTTTATCAGTAGAGATTACAAGTAGAATGGGACCAGGTGAAATAGCGAAATTTTTTACAGAACACTAGATGAATATACATTTAGACTAACGTGTGAACGTTATATATATTTGAAAAGTAAAACCAAATATGTAACATAATTCTATAAGAGTATTCAATGTTTTAATTAGACGCATCATGAATTAAATGCATTTTTATTCAAAAGAAGCACAATGAAAAAAAGCCAAAATAATAATAATAATATTCTTAAGAATGCATATATTTCTTAACATTTTGCGGAAGGCAACTGGCTGGAATGAAAAGTGCAACAACGAAAAATTTGTTCCGAAACTTATAGTGCTTTTGGGATAATAAAATTTGGTTTAAGCCTCAATCCTAGGTTGTAGATATGTAAGGTAAGCTTTCATCAATCGTACTTGGAATCAAAATAATCAGTCTTTCAAATTAAACTAAGTTTTATTAACAAGTTTCTAAAATTATCATTATTATTATTACCGAGGATTTAATCTCGGTTCAAATCAAAACGCTCCGACTAGCGCCGGAGACTCCTCAAACCTTATATAATCTAATCTCTAGACAAACAAGAAGAAATATATAGGGTTACATTTAAATACTTAGCGAGAATAATTGCAACACAATGCCCCTGGATGAACAATGGCAATTGCTCAACATCTAATTATTTCAAAAGAGATTAACAAATAGAAATATTATAAAACATACTTACAACGTAAGAATGAAATTACTTACTTGTGATTAATGAAATTAATCACAGAAACATTTGAAGAATAAACTGAAGTCTACAAATACAATAACAAATTGAATTAGAACACATAATAAAGAAATACTCACAAAATAAAAAAAGGAAAAGAAAGGATTGTTCACTGCTAAATAATAAAATGCCAATCATTATCAAGTTCTAATTTGTAGATTAATTGAATCGGTCGTTTAATTATACCAGAAGATGTCTGAAGGGCACAAGAACGTACTTTACCGTTTCTACGAAGAAACAGTTCCTTGACCACTTCAAATTTCCATAAGTGTTTTGGCCTTTTGTCCTCCTGAATCAACACTACATCACCAGTTTTGAATATAGAAGGAGTGTTAAAGCAAGGGAATAAATTGGCAGAGCAAAGTTCAAGTAAATATTCTTTACGCCAATGTTTCCAGAAATGAGCGATGACTTATCTGTATCTCAACATTTTCATGAGAACAATTTTGTTTGATTTGGGTTCAGCTGAATAGTTGACATCTGACAAAGATTTCAAACGCTTACCAATCAGAAAATGAGATGGGGTAATCGAAAGAGGTCCGTTGTTATCTTCATATAGATAAGTCAGAGGACGACTGTTGATGACAGCTTCAATTTCGGTCAGCGTGGTTTGAATTTCTTTCATAGGTGAGGCATGATCTACGTAGGATTTACTTCAAAGGGGGAGAAATTCGGCTCCAAACTTCTTTAAAAAAATCGGCCTTTAAGTGTTTGAAGCATTGTCACTATAAATTGTTTTCATAGTCTCTTCGGAACGTTTAGGGCTAATAAAAGTTTCCGAGCTCAATACTTTTCACTCGAGATGGGCTTTCTTGTGACGCACTGTGAAACACGGGTATGCTTTTCTGAGCCTGTTTTTTTTTGATACAATGGACCGTCAAGTCGACAGCACAGTCGAAAAGGAAGCGATTCAATTTTTCTATCTCTCGTATGGGAGTAATATTTGTTTTCCAGGGGTGCACTGAGCTTTTACAATCAGCATTTTTTAACACTGATTAACATGTTTTTCGCCTTAATATAAATACTTTCCCTCAGATGACTAAGGTGATTAATACCAAATGAAAACTTTTCATGAGCATTCTTAATTAATAAATTAGTAAAATTTCCACCTGGCAGAATCTAAGGATGTTTTTTCCTTTAGAGAAAACTCAGAAAAGTCTTCCCCAAACCACTAACAAACCGTTATCGTCAAATTTTGGATTCAGATTGTATAACGATGAATCTTTATCAATAGGCTTTTCTTGTTTTAGAGACATAATTTCACGATTAAATGCAATTTGCTGTGTCTATTTTATCCAATATAATTCCGCCTTGTCAATTTCTGAAGATGAGATTTGGCCTGAAATTTTAAATTTCCTTTTATCGATGTTGTTTAAAAATCTTAAGACCCATGCCGTAATATTGTACACCTTATTTAAAGAACTAAAATTCTCTAATTTTAATAACGAATCTGGAAATGCCTCAACAGCACAAGCTAATTGTGTTAGTTAAGAGTTTGAATTAGATTTATTTTCGTCTATAACATCTTTAGCATCATTATTAATAACGATATTTTCGGGTTTGGGCCACATGTGACTTGGCATTGATAACCATTCAGGGCCATAAAACCATAACTTGTTTTCGATGAGGATTATTCAATTTTTCACCTCTGGTTAAAAGGTCACTTATATTATCTTTACCCGGGATATAGTTTCAAATTTTGGGATCACTTAAAGATTGAATTTCCATAACTCTATTCGCAACAAAGGGTTTCCAATTCAAAGGTGATCCCTTAACCCAGTGTAGTTTTATGATTGAATCCGAATGTAAATGTCCAAATTCTGGGAAAAAACACCTTTTAGATTTTTGCTCATTCTTGCCGCGATTAATGCCCCCATAAGCTCAGGGCGAGGAATTGTTAGGCGTTTAATGAGTGAGACTCTACGTTTGGCCCAAATTAGACAGGTTTTAATTTAATAACTATTGGTGATGTTACGGAAATAGGCAACAGCTCCATAAGCATTAGGGTTGGCATCTCAAAAAATATGAACTTGTATTCTATAGGAAATTTCATAACCTTGAGGGAAATATTTTCGAGGTATTTCAAATTTATTGAAATGCGCAAATTCCGAGATCCAGCCTTCAAATTCATCTTTCAAATCATTGGGAAAAATAGTATCCCACTTCAAACCTCGTTGCCATGCTTCTTGTAATAGATGTTTCATTCGAACAAAAAAGGGGCAAAATATCCTATAGGGTCAAATATTTTCAACATAACCTTGACAGCAACTAGTTTAATTGGATTAAATTTCCAGCTATCAGGAAGAGATTGCATCTCAAAATGCAAAGTATCCGAAACGGTACCCCAAAGTAATCCCAATACTTTTATTCTATTGTTCGAATTTTCTCGTGAATCACATAATTTATTTTTCTCCCACATTTTTCTAAGATGAACAGAATTAGTATTAAATTTCTGCAAATTCATTCCTGCTTCTTTATAAATAGTTGAAGCTGTTGACGACAAATAGAAAGCTTTATCATCAGAATTCGAACCCGTTATTAAATCATCTACAAACAAAGAAGAATCTAAAATCTTAACAACTTTGGGATGTTCATTATATTTTCGAATATGATGTTTAACTGTAGCTGCCAATATGAAAGGACTGCAAGTTACACGAAAGGGTGCACGCGTAAACCTAAAAAATTCAACGTTGGCCTTTTCATTACTAAACCATAAAAATTTTAAATAATTCTGATTATTTTCAGTAATCGCAATTTGCACAAACGCCTTATCAATGTCGGTGCAAAATGCAACACTGAATGTTCTGAAATGCATTATTACATCAAGTATGTTTGGATTAAGATTAGGTCCTGGATATAAATAGTCGTTGAAGGAGTTTAAATGCTTTTCTTTGGAAGACTCATCGAATACCATCCTAACATTTGTAGTAGTGTCTTCTCTTAAAACTGGTCTATGAGGCATAAAATAACTATTTTCAATTATTTTATAAGGATATTTTTCAACAACTTCCCTATTTTCTTGTTCCAAAACAATAGCTCTATAATTTTTGCATAATTCATGATCTTTGTCGAATTTATGATTTAATTCATCGAAACGCCTTCTAGCTATTCTATTGTACTCCACTTTCATTTTTTCATCCTTCCACATTAAACTTATTTCGTATCTATTATTTACAAATTTAAGATTAGCTTCAAATCTATTCATTATTTCACTGTCTAATTCTGACATATTACCTATCCTGTGATTGTCCAATCCCGAGAGCCTCTAATTCCTACATAAATTTCAAGTCTTTTTGCTCAGAGTTAGTTAAGGAAAGATTCAAAACCGGAAGCTGTACTTATTCCATTTTTTTCTTCTTCCAAATAGCAACAAAGCGAGTAGCCGAATAATAAGGCACATAAAAAGCGAGAATTCGTAAGTTTCATTACCTCTCTATCATAACAAATTTGATAAAAGTAATTCTGCTCCTATTAACAAATTAATATTTGATTCGTCAGCTTCTTCAGCAGACAGATCTGAAGTAGCTGCCTTGATATTTTTCGCCAACCTGCTCTTAATATTCTTGTTTAGTCTAGGGCAATAAATTACTACATTACAAATAATGTCGGTGACTAATGCTTCAACAAAACTAAGCGAGATTACTTTTTGGGATGTGCAAAAGACACTCAAATGATTTGATTTGAGGTAAAAAAGTTCCGAAGGGAAATATTTGAAGATTTTCTTGGCGAATAATTGGAGGATTTAATTTTGATACCAACTGCTTTGCGACAAAATATCTTTGACTGCAAACATCAAATAAGCACAAGGGAGATTCTGCATGAGTGTCAGACTCCACAAAAACACATGCAGTTTGCAAAATTACTTCTTTACTACTTTCGTTTTTATTTACTTTGCAATGTGATACTGAGGTAGAATTAGAATTATGATTATTTTCTTTGAATGGTACGGGAGGTTTTGACGCTTTATTCAGACATAAGGAAAAATGATGAAAATTGGAATTACATATTTTACACGGAACTGAATTAAATTTAGCGCATTTCGAGAAAATATGATATTTTTCGAAGCAGAGAAAACATCGACCTTCTTTATGTAATTTTTCACGTTTTTCAGGAATAGAGAGTGTCTTGCAATTCTTAGAATAGTGTAGGTCAGTGGAACAAAAAACGCAAGCATTTTTAACATTTGTTGTTAATGCGGACGCTGTAGGTGTCGCACGCTTATAATTACTAATAAATTTATTATTACTATGTTTATATCTTTCTTTTAACGTTAGATTGATAATTACAACTTTGCATGTTGATTGTGGCTTCTCTAGATTCGGTTTCGATTTTAATGAAAGAAAGAAGCTCTTCTACATCCACTTTTTCCAAGTCAGCTCGTTCACGATTAAATTCGAGAGCAATTTCTGCGGGTAGCAACTTCAATAAAAGTGGACAGAGTAAATGTCCGTAGCTACCGTTTTTAACACCAAGAAAATTTAAATTTCTAATTTGAATTTCGCAACTATCATAGAGCTCTCGCAATTCCTTAACATTAGCAGCATTTTTTACTTGATTAAAATTCAAAAGTTTACTCATATGAGTGTTAATTACTAAGTCTTGGTGACTAAAACGATTTTTTAATAAATCAACAGCTGAATTATAATTTTCTTCACTAAGTGAAAAATCTGCGCCAACATTATATCCACTACCTCCAAGTAGCGATTTCAAATATGAAAATTTATCAGTGGGAGTCAAATTTGGATTATTATCAATAGCATTAGTAAATTGACTCCAAAAATCTAGCCAAGAACTAGAATAAATTTTTGGTATAGTAAGTTTTGGTAATTCCACTGAACGATCGACATTAGTGTTTAAAGCACTAGAATCATTTTTAATTGAATATTTTGAGAAGCAGTAACTTGGTTAATCATGTTACGTTCATTTACAGATTTCGTGATTTTGTACCGTGACTCAATTATTTTTTCACTATAATTTTCAGCACTTTTGATTTCTTTATCGAAATCGGCACCGGTATAAAGATCTTGAATCTGATTTAATTTTTTAAAATTTTTCTTTCTCATGCAATTGATCTTGTCAAATATTCCATATCAATGCATATGCTATTGATTCTTTTTGGATGGTAGAATTTTATACAAATTTCTTGCCTGGTTTCATCCAGTACGCCGTTTAATTAGAGTATAACTTATCTTCTTTTTAAGTTAACAGATAATAAAAATCAATAAATTATAATAGATAAGAAAACAGATACCTTGAAGCCAGTCCTTGGCGGACGCCGCCAAAAATGTAGATACGTAAGGTAAGCTTTCATCATCGTATCGGAATCAAAAATCAGCCTTTCAAATTAAAACTAACAAGTTTTATTAACAATTTTAAAATTATCATTATTTTATACCGAGGATTTTAATCTCGTTCAATCAAAACTAGCCGGATTAGCGCGGAGATCGCTCAAAACTTCTAATCTAATCTGCTAGACATACAAGAAGAAATATATAGAGTTACATTTAAATACTTGGCGAGAATAATTGCAACATAGGTTAAGTCCTATGTGCTAGGCTAAGCCTCAGTTCAATGTCCTTCATTTTGTTTGAAAGCAGTATTGTTTGATTATTAATTCGAAGATTCTTTTTCTTTCCTTTGGTATATACCGAATTAAAAAAACACATTTTTGTCTACATTATTTAAGAACTGCTAAAATTATAAATTGTTGCTCAAAATTTACCAAGCTTGTTGAAAATTTATGTTTTTATGGAATCTGTCATTTATGTATCTTGTTTACTTATTTCAGTGAAATTTAAAAGTTGTAACTATATTAAGATAAGGAAAAACAGCTGTTACAAACTATACGTTTTATTCAAGAAGGAAAATTGACATGAAATAATATCTGGTCTACGTTTTTTGCTGTAGTTTTTTGCTGTAGTTTTGCTATAACGTCGCCATTGAGAAGTATAACAAATTTTCTCAGCTATTTTAGCAATAATTGCAGTAAATATTATTAACGACACTTTGGATGATGAGACTGCTTTCGAACGAATTTTTTTGGCTTTAATTTGTGAAATTTAGAACAAGAACTAGAATGCAATATAAATTCGAGGTCATAATTTGTTTCTATTAATCCTGACAAATTAAAGTATCTGAATGAAACAGCTTCATGTCAAGCAGTGTAGCATATATTAGAGTTTGAATAAACACTGTTCCCATTTGGTACTTTAATTGTTTCTACCCAGTAACCCGCGATAAGTTTAGAAAACTATACAAATAGGTACCGCAGAACATTCTCCTCTTAAAACAGGCTTTTTAAAGCTATTATTCAGGTACACTTCGCGAAAAAAAAGAACAGTTCTATATCTCTCGGTCTACTGGGTCGATTAACGAAATTCCAATTGCGGTTTTCATGTCTCGAAAGCGCGACTTAGGATGTATTTTAGATTTATATATAACATTATTCTAACATATCAAATGTTGTATGATCTTAAATTCACTTAGGGCGAAATCAAGTTATTCTACTACTTGCGCAATAGCAGCAAAGTAAGTTAATAATAATTTATTTACTAAAGAAATATTGATAATATTA